CCCTACTGTAGCTCTATATATACAGCATTAGGCTCATGGAAGAAAAAAGACAATCCCATAACTTGGGAATTGCGTCCACCCCTCTCTCTCTCTCTCTTCCAAGGAGTTCTTCTATTTCTTGTGTTCCACTGATACAAGATCTAGAAAGCTGTTTGAGAATACAGTAGAAGATCTTAAGGTATATAGAGATTCCAATCATACATCCAAACCGAAGACCAAAACCAGCAAGTGACCATACCACGACGACCATGACGACGAGACGAAGAGATCGCCGTCGAGATCGCCGCCAGTCGCCGCCGCACGCGCCGCCACGCATCGCCAGAAGGTTCCAGCTGCCGAGGACAACGCGCGCGCGTGAGAGCGCGTGAATCGACCTTTTTCCGACCGGTCAATGCCGTTGACTTCGCCGGGATGTCAGCTTTCTGGATTGGTCAAGTTTGTTCGATTCCGAGAAGATTGATTTGCGGTCATCTGTCCGGGCCAGCCAGATCTACATAAATTTTAAGCAGTAAGTTTTCTTCATCAAACCTTTAGATCCGCTGCGCATAGGTTTATGTTGAATGTTTGTCCTTGATTTGTGCATATCGAGATCCTCGTGGGTTCCAACAATTACAAGGAATATTAAGCAGCTTACGGGGATCATCGAGGCGAGAGATATCGTCATATAGAACGAATCGGGCATGATTGACCAACTCACGGTCTTTTATTATGCGTCGAGCGCTATAAATACACCTATTCAACTCCTCTAAGAATCTTTCGAAGTCCTCGGATCGATACCGTTTATTTTGTTTGACTTTGGTACTTATCCAATTATTTGTACAAGGATAAACACCGACGGGAGGTCGAATGAAGACAAATTTCGACTTCCACTCTGGGATATTTGAAGAAAGATCATCAAGAAAGGTAACGCCGGGACGACGGATCAAAAAATGGGCCCCCTTTTGAAGTCGATAGCTATAACAGTAATGAAAAAATTCGGCCGAGAAAAAATGAAGAACTATACGAGAAATGACGATAAAAGCTATCATGATACAAAGAGCATTTGGAGAAAACTGATTTATTGGGATTTTATACAAATCGCTTATCTCCAGAAGCTCGGCTTGGATAGGGAAGCGTAGGCCAAAAATGACTTGGTCAATAAAGAAAGTATGGCAACCCTCGGGGGGACAGGCGAAGTCGCTGTCAGGACCCGGAGTAATCAACTCCCAATCGGAGGGAAGCCCGCTAAACTGCCTAAAGCTCTCGACTTGGCCCGCAGAGGCATAGGAAAAGGGGTTCAAAGTAGCCAATTTGGCCAAAGTACAGGCTACTGAAACAATCTTTCGAGGGTCGAGGGGAGTAACTAAAGATACAGGTACAGGATTGGTACTATGCACAGGGATATCTAACAACCTAAGGGGAATACCTTGAGGAATCAAGTCGAGACGAGGAGAGTTTCCCCGGGGACTCCTTGAGACCTCAACTAGACCACCGTCCAACAAGGCCTGATCATATTCGGCCCAGTCGACCTTCGGGGTCGAAGTACGCGATGAAGAGGGCGAAACGTTAACCATCCTACAGCCGGTAATCTCGACTGAGCTTGAGTCAGCTTGGTCAAGGCCCCTGTCGATCAATCTGTCGAGGGTGTCGGGCAAAGAACCAGAGTTGGAAGCTAAAAGAAAAAGAAACAAGGGTAAAGATCAGACATGGAAAAACAGAATCAAGCAAAGCACAATCGACTCACTTAAGTCGATAGAAATGCAAAAAAGGGGAAAGTGGTATGGTGTATTTCAGCGGAAATACGAAGGCAAGACGACATAAAGTCGACTCAGGGAAGGTACAAAAAGAAAGAAAACGAACGTCGATAAGAAGTCGACATAATAAAAGCAGACAAGAGGTTATACACGGTAGCCTAAATCGCACGATAACAATTTACCTACTTGAAGAGTGATTCACGCAAGATCCAACATAAAATCTCCAAAAAAAAAAAAAAAAAAAAA